TTTATTATGACTATTAATTTATGTTGATACATAACTCACATTGCTCACATTTTTATAGCACCTTGTATATTGCGTATGCTACAGCATGTATTAGGCGAACAAATTTTTCAAGAGAGTATTTTTGAATACTTGAGAAAACAGTAAGTACCATATTTTTCTATTTTTTTTTTTATTTTTCTTTTCTGCTTTTTTTAAACTAATAATTTTTTAAGAATTTAATTCTTTGATGATGTTATATCGCTGACATTATACCTGCAATCATAATAATTGAACAACCAAAAAAAATCTAAATTTTATATTAAAAATATACGTATTTGGTATTACGTTTATAGTGATAGCTTCGTTTACAGGATAGAGAAAATATCATTGTTATTAAAAATTAAATATCTTCTATCGATTGAACTCAGAACTCAATTATTTCAGCTGTTGCTGAAATCTATGACTATGAAAAATATGACTTCCTTATCGCGTTGAGCCATGAACATTCCTCTGATGTTCCGTACGAACTTAATTATGCGCGAACTTGTCGTTGAAACATTAGTAGGCCTTTTGTAATTGAATAAATTACTTACACCATGCTTACAATAAAATTAATTTTTATAATTCTCTGTAGGACAGGTGATCTGAATGATTTCTGGGATGTTATACAATTAACGTATGAATCAAAAATAACATTGAAAAGTAAGGCAATGAATGTGAAATACAAGATGGATTCTTGGATAGAAGAAGAACAATATCCTGTTATTAACGTGACTATAAATTACAAATTGAAATTTCTCCAATTTAAAATAGAAAGAGATAGAAAGAAATGGAATATACCTGTGACATATATTATATCACATTTTGAGAACAGGTTTAATTACTCATACTATCAACCACAGTTTTGGCTAGACAAGCGATCGGATATCAAAAGTTTAACTGAACTTAATAAAGATGATTTGGAAACTATGTGGATAATAGTCAATCTACTACAGACTGGTAAATGATAAAATTAAATATTTCTTTAAAATAGATTACATTAATTTGCTTGCTTTATGTCAGCGCTTAACGGACTATGCAACTTTAGATCGTTTTTCATAGTGGACGCATCTTCCCTTCTTGAATCTTGAAAATAATCGGGCAAGCGAACTGTACACAGCTATTTCCAATCAGATAACTTGTATATGATTCAGTTGTTTGACATTACTTTTATTGCGATGTCAATATTATATATAAATAAATAATAATCTTGTAAAAAATTTGAAAAAAATATTTTAAAATTGTAAATGGCCATGTCAATGACATTCACGACATTAACTTCAAAATTCAAAATTACTTATTTTATAAATATCAATTTATACATTTCTTATTATTTGATATGAATGTTATTTACTAAAAGTACTTCTCATGTTCATAATATAAAATAAGAAAAAACGTTTAAAAACATTTTACTTCATATGTAATAACTATTTAGTGGTAAATAATATTTGTTTACTGTATCATAGGATATTACCGTGTAAATTATAATAAAGAAAATTGGTTAAGAATCGCACGCTATCTGAAGTCCGAGAACTATACAAAAATTCCTGTTCTCAATCGTGCTCAAATCATCGATGACGCGTTTCATTTCGTGACATCAGATCAACTAGAATCTTCTGTATTTCGGGAACTTATAAGCTATCTGTCGCAGGAAACAGACTATGTAGCATGGTATCCTATGTTTAAAGCTATTGAACGCATGTCATATATTATACCATTTCATGGCTCTTTCGTAAACATTAATTTCAAGGTAAAAGTGACTTTGATAAAGAAATTTTTGACAATGCATTCAAAACATTAACTACATTTTTAATAATTGTGTAAATAATTTAAAGAATGATATTTGCTCAAGAAATCAAATAATAAAATTTTCTAATCAACTAATTAGTACAAAATTTATGTTATTAGAATATACTGAAGTCACTACGTTCACTTCTTCAAAAAATTGGATACAGGGAAGATCCTGACGAGAACGATTTTACTAAATGTTTAAGGCAAGAAGCTGCAAAATGGGCATGCCTTCTTGGCGACGACGAATGCAAGAAGAAAGCTTTAGATAACTTGAAATGGCATTTAGAAGATCAGACGTAATTATTTGTATAAAGTTCTAATGTATTTTTGTAGTTTTTGCAAAACTTGATATATCTTAGAATTAAAATGTATAAAAAGATATAATTGGATATTATTATAATCAAATTTTTCAGAAATTATAAACTTTTACCATGGTGGAGAAAATGGACCTATTGTAATGGTTTGTCGATAGCAGATGGTGTTTTAGACCATAAATTTGACAAAATTTTAATCACCAAAGATACCAAATTACCAGAATTTTTATCTTGCTCTAATAAAACTTCTAGCATGATATCTTTCCTTATCGGTGTAACAGATACAAAAGATCTAAAACATCTAGATTTTCTTATTAGTAATTCTAGATTTTCAGAATATGCTTCACGAACGAATTATATTAGAAATCACATTAGTATATTCTTTAATTTTGTTCAGAGACATGCAAATGATTCAATTCACCTGATATTAACTAATATTGACTCCATCAAACCCAGGTAATAATGTGTTTTCATTAATATCTTTAACTTGTATACAATCAGATATTTGTTGTATTATTTTATTAAAAATTATATATTTTGCATTTTTTAGAATAATTGATACACTTGTAGCATTAGTTTGTATCATAAATAACGTCTATTCTGATCAGTCCCTTGTTCAGGTAAATTTCTTCAAACGTAATATTTTTTGTTATTTTCTTATTTTCTTATTAAACTTTCTCATCCTTTTTTATTATATGTTGCATATTGTCATATTAGAAATATTTCAATAACGCTAGAAACAAAATATTATATATAAAGAACATAAATATATAAATTAAACATATAATATTTTATCTGAAAGTTATATAGAGAAGATAACGATAAGAAACAATAAGATTATTTATTTTTAAAATTAATTTGGACGTGTGTTATGAATGTATATTAATATTTATGACAAGCAATGTACCTATACAAATTCAAAGAAATTATTTCATTCAGAAAGAACAATCGAATAACAAAATTTTTTTATAAGTTTATGTAATTCTGTTTATGATATACAGGAACTCTGATAACTATAAATATAACGTTTTTTATGCAGATAAAATAAACAAAAACTGTAAAGAAAATTCTTATATTATTTCGCATGTTTCTCAGATACTAATGACTTAATTATAATAAAATAGCGAATTAATATAAATCCATACAAAGAGGCAACCCAATTTTATAGGCAACTCCTAAGAGCATGTCGAGATGTTTGAAGATGCTACTATAAGTAGCGAGTAATCTATCATTTATAAATTAAATCTTCAAATTTCTTTTGTTTTCAACAATTGTAAATACGTATAACAGCAGACTGTCTCTTTGCATGAATGCTCATTTGTAAATTTTTATTAATTTATAATTCTCAAGTAATTGCCAAATTTACATAAATTCATATAAATATTTTTATTTATTCTACACACGAAAGCTATGCCAATAATTGTTAGACATTCTATAAAAGTACACATATATACAAATTTACATAATGTAATATCATAACGAAATTATTTAATATTACGTTTATAATTTTTTATTCAAAAATTAATGATTCTATAAGATGTATTTAATATTGCTAATATTAATTTTGTAGATAACAGAATGGCTACAAAACGACTCTTCATTATATTTGATGGTTAATTTTTTTAATGATATTGAAGAGAAAATAAACTTACGCTCGCTTGAAATCAAGAATCACATATCTTCTTACGCTAATACATATGCATATATATAGAGTTTCTTTTTTTCTTAATTTAAATCAATCAAATAACAGATATCTACTGGTATTAATAGTATTGTCTAAAATTATAATTTTGCGCTTAAAATTGATACTTATCGGTTATTTATGTCCTCATCTTCCCTATTATTTTCTTTTTTCTATTCACTTCGTTGCTATCTTTTTGTAACGAGACATTGATGATCGATCTCTAAGGCAAGACTAGATTACATAATTGTTAAATATTTTTGACATATATATATATATATATATATATATATATATATATATATATATCAATATTCGTATTTAAAAAATACCGATTTATTATTGTTATTTATAAACTATTAGCTTTTACATATAATGTATTTTTAGAATAGTTATTAGAAGTATGTTTGATAATACGTATAAAAGTATTAAAAGATTTTTATACGTATGTTTAAATATACATATATACACGTCAAATATCCTATCAATTTTTTATTAATTTCAGTTCTGAGATCATCTCAAGCTACAAAAAGATAACTATGAAATAACTATGTAACTATGTAAAATGAGAAATAAGTATCAACAATATCAATTTTAATCTCAAAATTATCAATTCTGAATATTCCTACATTAAAATATAGAAACTCAAAACTGTAAGTTTTGAATAATACTGTGTTAAATAATACCGTATCCAACAAAATTTAAAATTATATATATAAAGATATATAACAAAAATATGTTGTTTAAATTTCTTAGTTATTCTTAGATGATTTTGTATATGACAATAATTTAAATTATATAATATATAATTATCTGTCAATAATTATATATTATTTACCTTGTAAATATCTTTGTATTCATTAATTATAAACATCTTTGTACTCATTAATAAATTTATTTGAATATACATATAGATGTTTTGATTAAACATACTTAATTACAATATTTTATTAAATATCTTTAAGAATAGAAATTTGTCAATCAATCATTGTCAATTATTGTTTTTTATTATAAGAATTTTAATATTAATTTTATAATAATTTCTTTCTTATAGAATTTCTGTTTTATTAATATTATTATTAAACAATTTTACGTGTATCAACTTTTACATCAAGTTCAGTGATTAATAAAACAACAATATTATTTTTATATTTTAATATTTTAGTCTAAACTTAATTTAATGTAATCAAAATTTAGAATGCAAATTGTTTTAGTTTTGTATTATTTCACATTTGTCTCAATAATGAATAAAAAATTAACAAACAAGCACAAACGAACGTGTATCCAGAAGATAAAATCCATACGTTACTCATATTCACGGTTGCTAAAAACGGAATGTTTGGAAGTATATTTTACAAACGACAGTAACAATCGCGCGAGGCGCGATATAATATCGATTTTGTCATAAATATAAATTGTGACGCCTTTCAGAGTTAAGTTTGCACATAGACATGTACTTTCTTGCTTACTCATATCTCAATGTCTGCATACGGCATAGATCACAATCTACCCGTAACCCTGAACGAAAAAGGAAAACCTCTTATTAGAGCTGGGAAGCGCCTTATTACAACAACCCCTCTATCAGAACCGCATGGATGGAGTGTCCGCTCGTGCTTGGAAAAGAAGCTCAATGGTCAGGTGCAACCACGAAGAGCATGGGCATGCAGCTGGCAATATTATACCTTTACTTCTCCTTCGCTTCCTCCTATTTTCCTCTTATCCTTCAATATGCCATTAAGCTTTTTCTTACTTTTCCTTTTAAAAGAAAATTCCGAGATTTTAATAGTTCGAAACAGAACGAAACGTCAATGAAATATTTCTCTGACTATCTCAATTAAAAAGATATACAACAAATAATAGACAATCTAACAATTGATTAATTATTCCGTATGGCTCAAGTTACGTCTACTGAATAATCGCGCAAGAGTAAGTTACAAAAATCCCAATAATTTTAGTCGCGTATAACACCAAAATTACAACGAAATTACATTATAATTGCACGCAAATCCGATATCGATATCAATATCCGAATATCGATGACAATGGTGCAAATCCCTAAAAAATCTCCAAAAAGTCTGAAAAACGGTCGTGTTTCCCTTACTCCTCTTCTCGCGGCGAATAAGAAAAATGTTCCGAGGGGCCGGGAATTTTGGAATTTCTAATTTCGCCTCTGAC